TCTGTATAGAAACTAATTCCAGATCGAAATTCGCGGGTATTATTTGCATAAATTATTCTAATATTCATGGAATCCGACCGCGGCATGAAAATCTATTTTAGATTGAAATTTACTGTTACCTTCGATGCAGTACGTTATTATAAATGTATGGTAATCAGTGTGTTAATGAAATTGCAGAACTTGGGACAGGTTAAATGAAACTCGGAACCTATAAGGAATTTATGGAAATTTTCATGTACATGTCAGTACATACGTGGAGTTATTTTTCAAAATATTCTGATCACAAATTGTCACGAAATCTATCTATCCCTCAAATCACGTAATCTATGTAATTTTTAACTGATATTTTTAACACAATTTGCACAGTTGACTTCTGAAATTAAATTTGAAACGTAGCATCAAATCGATAAAAATGACGTGTTTTCATGTTTTAAATAAAACGAATGGTGACGTGCCAACGAAAATAATTGCTGTCGAAATAAAGAGATAAAAACTCATTTTTCACCGTGTTTCTCTTTTACCCAATTTATTTTCAATTTGCAGGTTCAACTTTGATATTTCCAATATTTCGAATGTCTGCGTATTTACAATTTTTGCTTGGTAAATGAGGAATAAAATTATATTGTTCGCATCTCGATTTCTTTGATATCGCTATTCCACGAAATGGCATAGAACTTTTCGGAATAATAAACGGCAAAAGGGCAGCATTTCGAGGCAAGATAAAGGCGCACCTGCGTGTACGCATCGCAATTTTTCGTGATCTCGATCGCGAGTCGAAATGCAGTCCACCTTGAAGGTGGATAACCCGTGCGTAGCCCCATGAAAATGCAAATTGTATATCCCCACGAACGACGCGCCCTTGGACACTATTTTATGGTGATTGGATCAGCCTTAAAACGTAGAGCGTACTTACGCCGGGATTTAGTAGTTTTACTTGCTACGCTCCGGTGTCTTGCAATAGTTTATTGCTTACCTGAAACACAGAGAAACGACATATAGTTAGAAAGGTTTCAGCCGACTTTCATACAAACGTTGCTTTTATGCTTCCATTATAAATTGCAAGTGACTGTAAAATTTTTACTACTTCGATAAGTGAAATGAATGAAAAGTATACAAATTATGAGCGGAGTAATATGAGTGATACGAGGAATATCAGTTGCTAATATTTTCTGTTGAAACGGTTTTCGACAGTGTGTAATTTAGAACATACTGTTGTACGAATATGGATGATGACCATCAAGTATTCAGAGTTTGTCCATTAACCTAATTGAAAATATTCGTATTAACTGCTTAGAAGTATGAGTAATGTAACAAAATTTTGTGAGAATATTTAGGATTTGATAAAAATAAAAATCTAAGCAAATTTTCAAGTGCATCAATTAATTAATGTACTGTAATATCATAATATTTTATCTGCATATCCATAAATGGGTGACGTTTAAATTTCTATGAAATTCAACTATATAGCTGAGGGCCTGCCCATTAACCTAATTGGAACTATTCATATTAACTATATGAAGCTATGAATAAAAGCATCGAAAGGATATTTAGGATTTGTTAAAAATAAAAATACTGTCAAATCAAACTCTCAAGTGCATCAATTAGTTAACAAGTGAAGAACATATGTACAATTTGAATCATTTTAACTGCTCACACATAAGTGGGTAACGCTTAAATTTCTATGTAATTCATCAACTATATTGCTGAGAGTTTACCCATTAACCTAATTGGAAATATTAGTATAACTATATGGAACTATGAATAAAAGCAGTGTTATTAAGGTAAAATGCATTTGAAGTATTTTAAGAAGACAAGAAATGCAACATAAAATACCATATAACTGAATGAACACTTTAATGGCTGCTCATACATGTGTGCGATGATTGATGAACGTAGGTGGTTGCTCTAATACTTATCACGCAAAGGAAAATGTTAAATTTGTTATATTAAAGTAATTATTGTTTTTGTTTGTTTTATGTATGTTTATACATGTTGAATTATTTGAATTTACATAAAGTTTATTTAAATCAATTCTTCAAAAATATTGATCTTGAAGGTAATTTTTTTTAAGTCGCATTGATTTTCATGGAAACAATGTGTACATTAATTTATTCATTTTTCAATATCATTTTCAACTTCACAATAAGTAAGCTTGTGTAAGTTTGCGGTCAATAGAGTCCATAAACCCGTTGCATCCAGAAATGCATCGTGCATCCTCTACCGAGCGGAAGTGTTGGCGATCGAACGCGGAAACGCGAAACCAGTCCCAGGAAACGATCGTTTCCGTGAGCGGGTTATGAATGAAAGTTGGGCCGTATAATGGACAAAAAAGGTCGATCGAGTGTACGTGACCGGTGTCCATAATCGATTGGGGAAACGATTAGAAGCTGGTTCGGTCTAATGATAGTGAAAGAAACGTCGAATCGATACGTTGCGTTTGCGAAAGCGCTGGAAAGTAACGCTTCATTGAATGGCCGCTTGTTGCTAAGTGAATGCCGTAAGAGGTTCGGTCGTTTAACGAGGCTACGATCGATTACGTGATTGCCGAGCTATCGGGGAGTCTGGCTCGACCGGGATATAATTAAATCGAGGGGAGAACCTTCGATTCGGAAACGATTCGTTTTGTTCGAACGCCGGTCTTGCCAGCGTTATCCGTACTGAATTATGTCCGCGGTGATCGTTCGTTGATACGTTTGCTCTTGAATGACGTTAGGTAAGAGTGTGTGAAAACTGCACGGTTATCTTGTGTTCGCGATAATGGGAACGAGCTTTTACACAGGTACGTAACTCTCTTAGCGAGAAAACGAACATAAGGTGCATTCATCGAGTGCATTGATGAATTCGTTCATTTACCAAAATAACGCGTGTTTCCTAATATTTTGATATCGCCTCAATTTGATCAGTCAGAAAATATTTTGTACATGAAGCTAATTTTTGTTAGCTCATCTATTTTATGACTTCACAATTTTATCACGGTGAATATTTCATGTTTGTATTATTTTTCTAAATAAAAATATATTTACTGTGAACATTAAAATCTAGGAAATTTCCAAATGCACAAAATGAGATTGAAATTGAATTATCAAACGATACATACTTTATAAAATAAAATACTTTTGAGAAATATTGTTTGCGATTTTCTAAATCAGAATATATTTACTGTGAACAACAAAATCTACAAAATTTTTAAATGCATAAAATAAGATTGAAATAGAATTATCACATGTGCCTTATAAAATAAAATACTCTTGAAAAATATTGTTTGCGGTTTCATAGTAAAATATGGAACATGCTTTTGAAAAATTTTGATAGAATTTGATAGGAATTTGAATGGACAATTTTCGCTTTCGTGCGAGTCCACCAGGTGGCAACGTAATGCATCGCGTGCATATGCATGTGTGCACCCAAGGCGCACACCACGAGTGTGCTGTTCAGCATGATGTGTTGCCTACTGTCAGGGATGTGTGGACTTCATGTCATTCGAGCTCAACGTCCATACAAGTCACGTTCAAAAATTTGAAATAGCTACAATTTAATTAACAGCGGAATTAGCGACGAAGCTTAAATTAAAAGTTAATTAAATTTACGGGTTTTAGCAAATTTGCAGATTTCTAATAATTCTTGTTCCCCCTTTCTGTTGAATCGTTTCGTACAAAAAGAAATTTACGGATATTGCATGCTGAAAGAAGAGATTCCGATCTCCTGTTTTAAGGCGTTCTTAATTTCCGGCGTACTGTTTTTCATTTGTGAGATTCTTATCCGAAGGACGAATCCTCTTCTTATCTGACCTGCCAGCTAATCGTCCTCGATTCACTTTCATGGAAAAACGCTTTTCTAGGCTAAACTTCGTCCTTCCTCCTACGTTTGCGCAGAAAATGACAGTTCTTGGAACGGTAATGATAAGGTGCGCGGAAGGAAAACGTGATAACATCGCGTTAGCAAATGGGACACTTAACGATCAATTTCGCGTGTTTGACAAGTTTCTATACTCCCACGAATACGGAAACATTCCGAAATATTAGTTATTTCCTTTTACTATTCAATCGTTCTGAGAAATAAAATTAACCGGTTAACCACGAAAAAAATATGTGCAATAAAATTGTGATAAGAAAAACGGGAGTGGATTTATGTTGTCAGCAAATGCAAAAACGTTGTACTCTATTTTTACTATTGCACTTATGTAGCGATATATTTGAAGGTTAATGTCTTTTAGTAAGTGCAATATTATCTGTCGAAAATTGATTCGTCGAATGTTATTTTAGCTTTATTATCATTGTTATATAGGGTGAGTTAAAAATTATCGTCTGCAATAAACTTTAAGTGGAAAACATTTTAAGTTTTAGGACTCATCAGTGTATAATAAATTTTCAATGGAAATCTTAAGAGAATTTAAACATCTTAATATTTTAAAAAAGAGAAAAGAATAAAATTGCATGCAATTGGTAAGTGAAGCTAAAATGCTAAATTGTATTTTGATCAATAAACAAGTTATTGACTGACCACATAAGTAGATTACACAATTTCTATAATTTCATATTCATACACATAATCTTGCAAACTTATCAATTAATGTGTTAGAAAGTAACCTCCTGATTGGGTCAACCTCATGCGCCAACTCGTGGGTCGACATCTGTACCACATCCAATTAATACCTCGAAGATCGAAAAAAGGGGTGCATCTGATAAAGGAAAAGTGAGAGCGAGGATTGTCGATCGTTTTGTAACGTTAACAAACCTCGTAAGAGAGAATAATTTCTGTGGATCGCAGAAGGCGGCATCCTTCGAGGACAACAATGGCGTGAAATTGAAAAGTCGAAGGAGACAGCGCGAGAAAGGGCAAGCACGGAAGAAGCGTAATCAACGGGGTGTATCCGTCCACGAAACGCGAAGCGCTCTCATATGCATACGTATCCCATGCCGTAATAAATCCGGCGATTTGCATCGGAGCCCGTATAATAACGGGCAACGGCGTAGAAAGTGAACGTTACGGTTTTCAGACGAATTACAACTGCCGTGAATTATAATCCAGATAAACATCTGGGACGAGAAGGTGGACCAACTCGATATTTGCAGGTATCTTTACTTTTTACCGACGCTTTGATTATACGCTGTTACGTCGTAACTTGATTGTTACGTAAAAATTCCTTTGTTTTTTTTTCTCCTACGAAGTATCGAGTTTTGTGAGTCGTAAGGTTATCGCCGACTTATGCAAATACATGTCATTACAAAGTATATTTTCTTCGGGCAGTTTCAACTTTTATCTTAATTTGCGTGTTTTGCATATTTTGCACATTCTGAACGATCCATTTCGTTTCCTTATACGTAACGTATGGTTTACATATCTTGTGCACGCTCCGGTAATGTGTTTGGTTATCAACTTCTTTTAAATGGACTTTCTATTATTGGTCGACGTGTTTGCTACCTGCTTTGCCTGCGCTTTTATCTGCACTTCGTATAAGTATTTCCTGGAGAATCCAAGAATCATTCTTTGACAATATTTGACATTATACATATTCATATATAAATATTTTGTAACATGAAATATTGACAACATACTACATTCTCAATGTAGACTATATGCAATTCAAAGGAAGATTAAATAACAAAAAATTTCTATTATTCAAGGTAAATTTTGAATGACAATGAAATTAATGTTGAACAACCTTAAATGACCTTGAATGACCTTGAATGACCTTGAATGATCTTGAAGCCCAAAATAGTTCTAACATTCTCAAATTTTATATACAAAATTCTTTCTAACAAAATATAATTTATAACACAACTGGACGAATTAAAATGAGACACTCCATGCATTAATCGTGAGACTTTCAAAGTTTCAATACAACAAAAATATTTAAACTATCAAACGAAATTAAACGAAGTGAAAATATCTTAAATCAACAGGAAAACCAGGTTCAATCTAAGAGGTTCGATTACAAGCGGCATAACTAACGACCATAAACGCCCGCGCGCAAAACGAGCGCTCGTTAATCGGCAGCAAGCTCGAAACGAAGGAACAAGGTGAGACAACGAAGACTGTTAATTAGTCGTCGATGACACAGAGGCGAGGCACGCGGTTAAACGAGATACACCATGACAAATTGCGGTTTAGAAAGTCGAACGTTTGTCCCGATGGAACCGAGACGATCTATGCACCTGAGAATGTTCCTTCCCTAAGATCGCCAGAGACAATGGTGGATTTCGTGGGAATGCAGCTGGTTCCGGAACGAACCGCGGAAAAATCATAGGTAACGATAATAAACCAACGACAAACATCCGCGTGGTTTCACCGCCTCGGGATTAAATTAACGCGAGGCATAACTCGCGCGCAACGCGAGATTATATACCGTAACCTTGCGGTCTTCGTCCGCGGAATTTGAAATACTACGAACTTATTGCCCCTTGGCGACTGCTGGTAATTCCAGTCGGCCTTTTTAGCCGCTAACGAGACTCTACCGGTTGCGATAACTTGCTCACTCGATATTTTTATGGGGGGATGTTCGAAACTACTAAACTTCAGAACTTCTAAATTTGTATATTTTCAAACTTGTTAATTTTTAAGAGCTAAATTTGTATATTTTCAAACATGTACATTTTTAATCTTTAAATTTGTACATTTTCCAACTTGTTAATTTTGAAGCCCTAAATTTGTATATTTTTAAACTTGTACACTTTGAAGCACTAAATTTGTATACTTTCAAACATATACATTTTGAATCTTTAAACTTGTAAATTTTCAAACTTGTTAATTTTGAAAAGCTAAACTTGTATATTTTCCAACATGTACATTTCGAATCTCTAAATTTGTACATTTTCCAACTTGTTAATTTTGAAGCCCTAAATTTGTATATTTTTAAACATGTACATTTTGAATCTCTAAATTTGCAAATTATCAAATTATCAAAATTATCAAACTTGTAAACTTCGAATTCCAAAATTTCTAAATTCAAAAATTCGTAAACTGTGAATCCTGTAATTTGTAAATTTAAAAATTTGTTAATTTGGAATTTCATAAATTTCTAATTTTGTAATGCCTAAATTTCTAGTCCTCCATCTTCCTAAATTTCTAACTTTATAATCCCTAAATTTCTACTCAAATTTCTCAAATTTCTACCCTTGTAATTCCCAAATTTCCAGTCCTCAAATTTCCCAAATTTCTAACCTTGTAATTCCTAAATTTCTACTCCTCAAATTCCCTAAATTTCTAACCTTGCAATTCCCAAATTTCTAGTCCTAAAATTTCCTAACCTCAAAATTCCCAGCAAATTTTCCAATCAACAAATTTTTAATTTCTAACCTAACAAAAATACCAGTCATTCCCTAAAATAATACCTAAGAAAAAATACCTAATTGTTCCAAAAACTTAAAATATCCAGAAGCACGTCACGGAGAAACCAAAGGATTAGAAGAGTGTATCGATTACGCGGTGGAAGTAAAATCGCTTCTAATCGCCGGTCGCTTAATTCGACGGGAATCGATCGTTGCAGGTTGGCTGGGACCGACAGGTGCAATTTCCGCATGTAACTTGGCACGGTAACGTATACCCCGCTTACGAAGAGCTTAAAGCAGCTTTGATCGCGACGCTGAATCTGCTAAACGCTTGCCAAGGCTTTCGATAAAGATACAAGCGAAGCATTGTTTTGCGACCATCGTCTACCCCATTAGCCTTCTGTAGAGTCTTTAGCGAGAATGGTATAATTCATACCTGTCGCAACACGAATTTTATGTGAATTGTACGAACAACTTTGATTGCATAAGTGAATCATCATTCAACACAAGTTTATGCTTAACTTCCATCTTGTTAATCTTTAAGGAAGAGTTAAAATGTATAAGATATTAAACAATATTCAGTAAGACAAACTGTATAAAATATTAAACAATATTCAGTAAGACTTAAACTGTATAAAATATTAAACAATATTCAGTAAGGCTTAAACTGTATAAAATATTAAACAATACTCGATTTTTATTGATAGTAGATTTTCAGTAAAATATTGCATGAATTTACTTCATAATTTGCTGGAACACGATTTGCTGAGTTCTTTTGTTCATTTAGATGTGATTCGTTCCTGAAAAAGATGGCTGATACTGGTTGACAGTAGAAGCATCCATATATGGTCAGACGCGACACATTAATAATTCATCATCTAAGAATTTCATTTTGTGATTTCTCAATTTGAAAATTTACTATCACATTTACCTATTATGAATACATTCATCTACAACCTTTATATTTCTTATGTCTATTCAATTTATAATTGTTCAACCATGTTCAGCTTAAATCTTTCACTAACACTCGAACGATCATATTTTAAATTTGATGTAAATCGCACAGACTGTAAATTGTGTTCCAATTAAAAGGTAACAAGTTAAAAAAGTTACAAAAGTGCCGGGCCATAATCAAAATGGCGTAAACTATTTCTGAAACAAGAATAAACAAATTGTGATCATTAGCATTCACATAGCGTTGTGCCTATCTCCCTATATTCCGCAAAATATTTCAAACTGTTACGTGGTTGAGAAACCATGACGGTCCCAGATGTGCGAAGAAAAAAAGAATTAATACCCGTAAAGTTGCGAAACGTTTCGCGACGAAAAAATTTTCTACACGTATGAAAAATCGGTCCCACGTGACCAGGAACATATGATTTTTTCCGATGCCATTCCCGATATACCTCTCACTGATTCATCAACGTCGGATGATTGAGATTCTTCGACGAAAGTGTTTTATATGTTCCTGCGAATTAATGATTCGTGCTCTTATAAATCACGGAACGTATGGTTTACATATCTACGATCGCACGATGGTATTCTACTCGGTTTGATTTATACCTTAACCTATTTCAACCCATCATCATCATCTTCGTTCAAGGACGATATACATTTTTTTGTTGCACTGATTTAATGGACAGAGAACAGATTTGTATCAGTAATCCATATTTAATTACATATTAATAAAAATGTCAAAATCAGGTAAAAATATTAAAACGATACCCAATGTAAAAATGTTAAAATGTTCCTCAAGGTAAAAATGTTAAAATGATCCCCAATGTGAAAATATTAAAATGTACCCAAGATAAAAATGTTAAAATGATCCCCAATGAAAAAATATTAAAATGTACCCTAGGTAAAAATGTTAAAATGATCCCCAATGTAAAAATATTAAAATGTTCGCCGAGGTAAAAATAGTAAGATGCTCATCAAGAATGTGTACCAAGAACTTGGTATGCACAAACGTGTGCCCTGATTGTAGAGTTTGAGATAAAAACAGAGTGAGTGCCTGTAACAAGCATATAATTAATATGTGACAATTATTAAAACAAATACAATAATTATGTAAACCATTGTAATAGCTGTTGAATTAAAGTTTGATGACATCTGCAAACATTTTCATTATGTTGATTAATATTTGCTTATAATGTTCAACATATATTAAGTTCTACGATGAATTTTTATTTAGACTTCAACTTTAATAATTTAATAATATATTAAAGATAATTTAACACAAGAACTACCGACATTAAATGCTCGTTTATCGAAGAATGACAAATAAAATGAAAAGGGAAATAAATAAATACTAAAGCATCAAGTAACATATAGAACTAGTTTTTACCTCAACAAAATATGACACACATTTCTATAAAGTCGGGACAATAAAATTTTGTAATATAAAATAAGAAATCTGAAACCAATCATTTTGACTGGTTTGTAGTTCTAGTGTTAATACCGAAAGACGAGTAATGTCCTGATGAAGAAATTCAGACTAATTTGTCAAATATCGTATTTCTAATTTAGGTAAAGAAAGAGGACTAAAATCATTTGGTAAGGGTTAACAGTGGAACATTAACGTCCAGTTTGAAGCAAAGGCTTCATCGGGACGTAAACGGTTGGCCTCGGGCCGAATGACGATTATCCCGCGATTGTAGCAACCGTTGATGGAAATTACGTTCCGCTTCAGCGTGATTATAGCTACGCTGCTCGTGAATAGCCTTCGGCACGTGCTGGTTGTTGCAGACAGTCTTACCTAAATCAACGAATTCTTTCCCTTCGACTGATCGTAACGCCGAGTTAAACATCAGTTTCACGATTAATCATTTTCCATTACGGTTTTATCGCTTGTTTAATCCTGCTTGCGCAATCGTTGTCCAGGCGTTCACCGGGCACCTTTGAACGTGTCTTGTCTATCAATTGCGGATCGGACAAAGCGCCTTTGAATGTTGGGAATAATATTTTTTAAATTGATTATGGTAAATAGGGGGAGTGTATGGTTGATTATTTAGGATAGTTCTTACCATTTCTACTCGTATTTGGAAATTTAGGGGTTGGGGTTTGAGGATTTTGGGGGTGTGATTTTGGTAATTTCAGATTTTGGGGGCTGGAGAATTTAGGGATATAAGAATTTACGGCGAGCAGAGATACGGCGCGTGGAGATACGGCGCGTGGAGATACTGCGCGTGGAAATTCAGCAGGTAGGTGTTCGACGTGTGGAAATTACGGTGTGTGGATTTACGACGCGTAGGTATTCGACTTGTGGACATTACAGCGCGTAGAGATACAGCACATGGAAGTACGGCGCGTGGAAATACGGCGCGCAAAAATTCAACGCGTAGGTGTTCGACGTGTGGAAATTACGATGCGTGGAAATTTCGGCGCGTGGAGATACAGCGCGTAGAGATACGACGCGTGGACATTATAGTGTGTAGAAATACCACGCGTGGAAATTATGGCGCGTGCGAATACAACGCGTCGAAAATATGGCGCGTGGGAATACGACGCGTGGAAATTACAGTGTGCAGAATTACGACGCGCAGGTAGTCGACACGTGGAATTTACGGCACGTGAAAATACGGCGCGTGGAGATATGGCGCGTGGAGATACGGCGCATGGAGATATGGCGCGTGGTAATACGGCGCGTAGAAATTAAGATGCGTGGAATTATGACGCGTAAGTATTCGACGTGTGGAAATTTGAGATTTTGGGGTTTGGAAATTATGATTTTGAGGATTTGGGAATTTGACAATTAGAAAGTTGAAAATTTGGTAATTTGAGAATGCGGGGTTTAATAATTACAAATTTAAGAATATGCAGTTTAAGAATTCAGGAGTCTAAAAATTTATAAATTTAACAATAGGGATCTGCAAATTCGGATTTACTCGTACATTTGGTTTCGACCTTATACTTTAAAGATCTCAAAATCTATAAATGCATGAATACGTCTATTTTCAAATTTGAAAATTTAAGGAGTAGTTTAATAAGTTACAACTTCACAAACATACAAAAATCTCCAACTTATATTCCCAACTTCCCAAATTCTTAAATTCCCTACTTCCTAAATTCCTCCACTCCAAATCACAAATTTCGCAAACATCGGAAGCCATTTCGCCCCAGCAAGATACATGGAAACACGAACGAGTCAGACGAGTCAGTATCCCACTAATTTTTCATCCGCTCCTCACAGAGATATTTGCAAAGAGAAAAAAGCTAAGAAAGCACAGAACGGAAAGCTCCGTTACGAGTACACAGATACCGCACAGGATTAGCGCGGTGCTGTTAGCGAGTGAAGTCGTTGCCTTCTGCAAGGATTTCACGATATAATCTTTTGATCCTGCCGGAACCGCTACCCGGGACAACTTGAGCATCAACGATTCCGTCGAAAGGCCATCTCAGCAGCTAAAAGGATGTTTCCAAGGGATTTGAAAGGAGTAGAATCCTGTCTGAAGTTGTTCATTGAAAAGATTCTACGGATGATAAACATTCTTATTTTGAAAACGTTTTTATGGGAGTTCAATGGTTTATATAATTATCTTTAATTTGTATGTGTATGGAGTGTTATAATAATTATTAAATAATCAGGATGGATAATAGCAAGTATAAAATATTGTGTAAAAATAAAAATCATTTCGTCATTTTGGGATTTGATCATTTAGAATTTAGTCACTTGAGGATTTGATTCTTTGTGGATTTGATCATTTGAGAATTTGGTCATTTCAAGATTGGTTACTTGAGAATTTGGTCATTTCAAGATTGGTCATTTTGGGATTTGATCATTTAGACTTTGGTCACTTGAGGATATAATTATTTGTGGATTTGATCATTAAGGGATTTAATAATTTGAAAATTTGGTCATTTCTAGATTGGTCACTTGTGTATTTGATCATTTAGAATTTGGTCACTTGAGGATATGATTGTTTGTGAATTTGGTTATTAAGAGATTTGATAATTTGAGAATATGGTCATTTTAAGATTTGATCATTTGGTCATTTGATAGTTTGGTCATTTTAAGATTTGGCCATTGGAGACATAGTTTATTTGTGGATTAAGTAATTTGTAGAATAATCATTCAAAGATCCGACAATTCAATCATCCAGAATCATAACAAATAGAGTTTTATAAATGTCTACATTTAGGCATCCATGAAACTGGACAACAGCCCTTTATCAAATTGAAATATTACACATTATACATTCATACATTTCAAACGTATTAATTTGCAATTACCATCACACCAATTCCAAACTCATAAAATTTTGAAGTTCAATTTACATTTTTGATACAATCTCAACCCGCTTTTGTCGGTAAACATTCAAATGTGACCTAAATCGAAAAGCTTTTCCTTTCGTGACCGGCCCCATCTAAAATTAGTTATCGAATCCGCAGCTCGTTACTCGCGTCACGATTTTCCCGACAGGGAGTAAAAGGAAAATCGCGAAAGAGTAACGACCGGCGTTGTACCCACGTGAAAAGCGATAAAAGGCTATCGGGATCCATCGAGGTAATTGCGGTGCTTTGTCTATCATTAGAGAACGTTATT